GGGTAGTCTCCAACCAGTAGAAAACAACAGTTTGCCACAACTAAGCGATAAGAACACAGAAGAGGTTCATGAAACATCCTAATCTTCTACCTTATGTTGCAAACAATATAAACTGATTTAGTTTCCAATCATTTACCAAGTTAACTAATTTCAGCAGACAACTCCTAAACTTTACAAGATTAGCTTCATTTTTCTTAGCTTCTAAAAATCTGAAATCAGTTAGCTGCTAATTCAACATGCCTAAGATTTTACAGGACAACCCCTTAACTTGGTGATGCCAGCATATTTGAAGGTTGATTCTAATGAAAGCTCAAGGAACCCAATTCCAAATAATCAACCCCTCACCAAAATTGATTAAGATACATCGTAACCACACATTCTCAGCTAATACACCAGGTTCTTATGTGAGACAGACCTCAACAACTTATCTATCCAGGCAAAAATAAGGACTAAAAGATATTCATGAAACAAACACATAAGTCTCATACTTTAACATACACAAAAACATCCAACCAGAAATTCAATAATATCTTGTCTTATACATATTGAGCTACTTTCAGATAAGAGCCATAACACTTCAGCAAACACATAGTGGTTAAAACAAAGTCTAGAACTGCAGTCACTCTGAAGCTGTAGAACATAATGGAATGCAAACTAACTAGGCGTGTCAATTCAAATCATAAAAATCTTGCAGCTTGGAAGAATCCTATCTTACAGCATTTCAAATTAGGTGCCAACACTGTCTTATTCCCATAATCCCATTCACAAGGGGAATGGCTCACACAGCAGCCACATAATGACTTCCAAAATCTAATTCCAAAGCTCAGTTTTTCCACTCACAATCAAGCGTCCTTTTATAGAGTCATACCAATTGACATGAGAAAGGAACACAAAGAAAATGCTAAAAGCCCCCGAATTTACCCAAATTAATGTACCTGAAAAAAAGGTTTCACTTTTCAATTTGTTTGGCAACTATAAGAAGCATATAATGAAGCATAGGAATAATAACATATTACCCAGCTAAAGGAAGAACCATTCAAGTACAACTAATTGTATATGATACCAATATGAAGCAAGCAGTTATCACCTGCCAGTCTGCTTGAGCATGTCAAGCATATTGGTCTGGAAAACATGATCAACAGCTTCAACACTCACTCCAGTACCACTCTGAGGCATTGCAAACACATCCACGACGCGCACCGTATACTCATCCACGAATTCCCCTAACATCAATCCCATCACTTCCATAGGAACTCCAGCCCTCCCTGCACATCATTAACATAAAAAATAAAAATAAAAACTAATTACACAACACCTACAGACACACACATAGACAGATCCAACATTTACAGTCCGAAAAACAATATATAAGGAGCGAAGATAGTAGAGAAATTGAGAAACCCTAAGTTTTACCGTGTTTAAGCATCTTGAGGAGGGCAAGAGAAGAGATGTAAACTTGCTCAGAAGAGTCCAGAGTGGGAGAATCCGGTGGCGGGTGGCCTAACGCGCCGCCAGCTCCGGCGAACATCCGCTGCAATCTTTCCATTCCAGACATTGATAGTTTTCTGGGTTTTGCTTTTGGGGATTTCTTTGAGAACAAGACTACTCCAACGGAAATTTCTTTGATCTGAGAGAGAGGATGCGGATTTATAGAGTCTAAAATAGTTATTGCACAGAGACCCCTATACTTTGATATTATGTTATTTATTACCAAAATATTTCTTAGTAGCCAATTACTAGGCATCCAGAGTTCATGACAACATTTGGCTGAATTTTGAGAGTTTTACAAATAAAAAAGACCATTTAAAGTTGAAATTAAAAAAGAGTATTTGAAAGTTAACAACTTTATTTGGACATGATTCATATGAAAAGGGTTGAAGTTCTATGAGTGAAAATTATTATATTAATTTACTATTCGAACAAGTTTTTTGATATTTTATGTCAAATACTGAATCATAATATTTGCAAATATTAAAAAAAATCAAACATCTCTAGTACTATAAGTATATTTTTATGATTTTAGTTTTGGCAATATCAAATGTACATGTTAGACTAAAGTTAGGATATATAAAACGGTGAAATTAATAAACAATTGGGCCATAATTTGTTACAAAGTTTGCTTCAGTTGCTTGAATCAAGATAAGTTGTGCCAATTTAAATTAGACAATTGGTTGTAACTTCACCTACTTTGCGTAATCATTTTTAATTTTGCCTATTTGTCTTTAATAATTTGTTTAATTACTAAAGCAAACTTAAAAAAGTTTTTTTTTCTCCTTTTTGTTATAATGGTTACATATATCTAAAGGAACCATATCAAAAAGAAGAAAATGGAAGCAAAAGACCTAATGTACATTACTAACTATGGGCCCATAAGGTTTAGTATTTACCACTCTATATTTTATTTAGAAATTTATATATCTCGGTAGCATGGGCGGATACAGTAGGGTGACACGTGACACCGATTCGTCGATTTTTTTTTGTTAAACATATACATAAATAATCTGCAAAATGCCATATAATTATGGGTGGCAAATAGACGGGTTGAACTAAATTTGGGCGGGTCAAGATGTGTTAGGTCAATAAATGGGTCATTACCCAACCAACCCAAAATGTACTTGGGCTAAGATGGGTTGGGTCAAGATGGGCTAAACAATTAGTCATAGCCCAACCCCCAACTTGACCCATATTTTAGAACCATGCTCGTCTTGCATAAACAAAATATTTTTACCATTTATACACCTATGTATAAAAGGTAAATAAATACTATTAGTATTTTGAGAATCAAAATATATTTTCTTAAATAACAAATTAGTATTTAAAATTTGTAAGTTAAAAAATATCTTTTATGTTATTTCTAAATAAGTAAATTTCACCACAACTCAATTACAAAATTATTCATATTTACATTAAAACTTAAATACCTTGATTCTCATTTTTAAACTTAGATACAAAATTTAATGATGAGGCAACTAAGCAAATTTCTAGACAAGTTGGGTTAATATCCCTTTGTTTTGGATGAGCTTCATGGGTTGTATTTGGACTACTTCATGGGTCAGAATAAACTATAAAATATGGGTTAACTTGGGCTCAAGCCAAATAGACCTATGAGCTAAAATGTTTGTAGCCCAACCCATTAATCTAGGGGCGATTTGGGCGGGTTTGGGCTCAAATTGTCACCCCTACATATAAGGCAGAAAAATAAATAAGTGTGACACCACTTGTCATCAAGCTCTTCTTGGCCAGTTGTTGTAGGGCCTGACTTTTTTAAGCAAGGTCGCGGGATCGAATATGTGTTATGGGGTTTTAAATCTTATTTTTGTTTTGAGGAACTGGGCTGGAAAATAAAGGATAAGAGAATGTGTATACGAGTGAAATCGGACCCCATAAGTCGGCCCGGTTCCCGATAAAATAAATCGAGTAAGGAACGCGATGACAGGAAACCATAATCGAGGTAAGGGACTCACCGAGTCAGACATCGGGGGCACGACGCCCGCCCTCGAGTATATCGAGGTCGTGACCCCAGATCGGTCCAAATCTCAAGAGATTTCGGAGAGCATTATTGGGCGATCGAACACGATTAACGGAAGGCCGTGATATCTGTGATCAACCGGGTATCACGGCGTAGATCTTGGCACGTACCGACGGAAATTCAGTAATTAGTTAAATGGAAGATTTTTTACTTTTTATAAAATTGTACTTAGGGTAAAACTCCCCTACTATATAAAGGGGAGTTTGATTATTCATTAAGCACATTGTAACACGCATCCCAAAGTAATACACTATTATTTTTACTGTTATTCATAGCTCTTTTTCTTGCCCATCATTACTGACCATTGTGAGCCCGGATCGAGAGTGAATATTTCACTAAGGCTGGAATCATCCTCTTCATGTGGTTTGAATTTACTATATCTTTATTTGTTCCATCTAACTCAATTTATCGTTTTGTATCAAATTAATCTATGTATTCTTAAAACCACTTAAAAATTTAATTGTTATCCGGTTTTGAGGGTAAATAATTTGGCGCCCACCGTGGGGCTAAGGATAATAGTGACAGTTTGATACAAATTTCCGTAACACACACTATTTTATACTTGTTCTTTGAAGTATTTTGAATTTTAGGTCAGAGTTTAAAATGTACCATGGCGAGAACAACAATATGGTACCCAGTAACGAGGTAACCCCTATCTATCCCAACGAAATTCTGGTCGCGGACCCAATTGACGCTAACTCACATGTGGCCATCAATGTAAATTTGCCTACTGATCCCGAGAATAGTGTCTACGGGGGAGTTCGATCGATAGCCCAAAATACACATGATGTTGGAGGATATGGGATCAACTTGCGAGTGATCTTCGAAATGCTACAGGCTTAATAGGCAGCGGTAGATCAGCTGCAGAACCAGAGCCGTGCCCCCAGCAGGATCTAGCCAGAGCCGCCCGAGAAATCACTCACAGAAACGAACTAGTCGTGGAAAGGCCGAGTGGCGTCGAACCCGAGTCTAACCCTGAGATTATAAAGAGACTCGAGGAATTGACAAAACGGGTAGAATTGGGGGAAAAGAAAATCGAAGCCAATGACTAAAAGGTGGAGACCTACAATTCCAGAGTCGATCAATTTCCAGGAGCACCACCAATATTGAAGGACCTAGATTCCAAGAAGTTTGTTCAAAAGCCTTTTCTTCCAAGCGCAGCACCGAAACCAATTCCGAAGAAATTCCACATGCCCGAGATTCCTAAATACAATAGATCAACCGACCCAAATGAGCATGTGACTTCCTACACGTGCGCCATCAAAGGGAATGACTTAGAAGATAATGAGATCGAGTTCGTCCTGCTGAAAACATTCGGGGAAACTTTGTCAAAGGGAGCTATAATACGGTATCTCAACTTACCCCATAATTCTATTGACTCGTTTGCTATGCTTGCAGACTCCTTCGTGAAAGCACACGCCGAGACCAGGAAGTCAGACCTTTTCAAAGTAAAACAGAGAGATAATTAGATGCTTAGGGAATTCGTGTCCCGGTTTAAAATGGAACGAATGGACCTACCCCCGATCGCGAACAATTGGGTCATTCAGGCCTTCACCCAGGGACTCAATACTCGAAGCTCATTAGCTTCGCAGCAGTTGAAGCAAAATCTGATAGAATATTCGGTCGTGACTTATGCCGACGTACATAACCGATATCAATCAAAAATTAGGGTCGAAGAAGATCAGTTTGGGGCCCCTTCAGGGTCTGTTTATCCTGCTAGAGCTATCGACGAATCCAAGAGAGACATTTATCGTGAACCAAGATCGAATAAGGATCGGTATCAACCATACAATGGAGACCGAAGAGGTAATGGTCCGGGCGAAACCCCGTGAGAAATGAAAGAAGGAGTAATCGAGGTCAAAATAATCGGGGACTCATGAGCAAAAGTGGTTTTGACAGGCCCGTCGGGCCCAAGAAAGCGCCGAGGTTATCAGAGTACAACTTCAACATCGATGCTGCTGCCATCATATCTGCCATCGGCCGCATCAAAGACACCAATTGGCCTCGGCCTCTACAGTATGATCCAGCCCAAAGGGACCCCAACCTAATGTGTAAATATCATGGTACTCACGGTCACAGGATGGAAGACTGCCGGTAATTAAGAGAGGAAGTAGCTCGGTTATTCAAGAACGGACATCTCCGAGAATGTCTGAGTGATCGGGCCAAAAAACATTTCAGGAACAAGGACTCTAGAAAGCAGATCGAGCAAGACGAACCTCAGCATGCCATCAACATGATCATCGTTGGGGTCGACGTCCCCCGGGGACCGATGTTAAAACGCACCAAAGTATCCATCACAAGGGAAAAACGGACTCGAGATTACATGCTAAAGGAACCTTGTCTTTCAACAACGAGGACGTTGAAGGCATCGTGCAACCCCACAATGATGCATTGGTAATATCTATATTCATAAATAAATCTCGAGTTAAGCGTGTGCTAATTGATCTAGGTAGCTCGGCCAATATCATCAGATCGAGGGTTATAGAGTAACTAGTTCTGCAAGACCAAATCATGCTTGCAATCCGAGTTCTAAACGAATTCAATATGGCATGCGAGACCACTAAATGAGAGATAACATTACCGGTGAACACTGCCAAAACCATTCAGGAAACAAAGTTCTTCGTGATTGAAGGAGATATGAGGTACAATGCTCTGTTCGGGAGGCCATGGATTCACAATATGAGGGCAGTGCCCTCGACGCTGCACCAGGTATTGAAATTCCCAACACCATGAGGGATTAAAATAATTTACGGAGAACAACCGATCGCAAAGGATATGTTCGTAGTCAATGAGGTGGTCCCGATATCCACACTTTCAACACCAAAGGATCTGGTTTCGGTCACCAAGGGAGAAACCAAATAGCAATTATCGATACCGGCCCCGCCCCAACCAGAGAAGCAGGGGATGGGTGAGAACGACGACTAAGGAGTTCCCAGGGCTTTTATAGCCCCCGATGATTCCGACGCCACCAAATCAACGGTCGAAGAACTGGAGCAAGTCATATTAACTGAGCATCTACCCGATCGTAAGGTATACCTGGGCACGAGGTTAAGTCCCGGGCTCAGGAAAAAACTCATTAAACTCCTTATAGCTTACA